TTTATGTGTGTGTGTTTGCATGCAATTCACCTGTTTATCTCAAATGTGATATCCTTTTGTGTGTGTTTGTTCAATTTTCATTAATCACTGTAATAGTGGAAATAAAGAATGAATGAATGAATGAATGAATGTCTTGTTCCATTCTTATCTCTAGTCGTTCATTGAAATGTGGCAGAAATAAAAATGACAAATCAATCTTTTTTCCCATATAGTTTACTAGAATCGAACACAGATCAATGTATAAATATTTTTCGAGTTATATAGTTCAAAATCGAGATCGGGATTTCCGATGAAAAAAAATAGCAATTCAATCCTTTTTAAATACAAGTAACACCTTTTTAAAAAGCTTGCCCGACTAAATCAATCAATATCTGCATGAGGAGTGATACATGTAAACCTTTTGGGCAATACTTTTGTGGGTTGTACCACTATCATACATTGAGAATGAAATAAGAAAATTCAATATTTAGGCCTTTGTGGAATGAAAAATCCAAGATTTTGTACTGGTTTCTTATCTATTGTGTGCATCTGAAACGGGGATACAATGTTCCATGACTTTTGAACTGTGTTGTTCATTATTGGACTAGTCCATTTATGTAGTAAACAATCCGCTGGATCTGGAAACAAATTAGAAAAAGATTTCTTAAAGAACAAGTTGCTGTCCTTTAAAAAAGGACTGCAATACGTTGACCATATGCGTGTTTTTTTCTAATTAAAATTCAATTAAGAAAATTTCTAGGTGTAGGGAATATTCATGTAAGGTTTGTTCACTTATTTTTAAAATTATCTGCCATGTATAACTGATTGTAGTCTCAAAGCACAAATGTGAAATTTTATCTCCGATTAGCGATCTTTAGTTTTGTCGGTTTTAACATGTTTTAAAAATCGGGTTATTTTGACACGTATAACACATATTGGCTGGGACTTAACACCTGTTCTGGATTTATGCGGAAGAAATTTATCATGGGAAAAATGGAGATCTGATGTTTCACGTGTTGCACACCGCTGTATAACGCAGATTTGATTTTTATTTTGTCGGAGCCCCCACCACCCAACACACACATACATACATTAAACAGGGGCGTAGCAACAGCAACTTTTTTTTTGCCAACCTTACTTACACTATAGAAATTGTTAATTGAAAGCCTGGTTGCCCCCCCCCCCCCATCTTATAGTGATGTACCGTAAGTTCTGAAAGTAATTGACGCTGAAAAAAAGTTTATCTATCCCCCCCCCACCCCCTACGAAATAGTATTTCGACTTTTGGCACATTCATCCCTTGTTTTTGCTTTTCAACTTTTTCAGGTAAGTAGTAATTTTTTTTCTCTGGCCGCCCCCACCCCCTACTTTCAAAAACGATGCTACGCCACTGACTAAAGCCCTTGCTACAGACCTTTATCACACAATAATTAATTTGTAAAATTTTATGAATTATTATTTTTTATTATTATTTTGCTTTACTTTAAAAGCTTTAAAAGCTACGTACATGTATCTCTGTTCGTTGAGTGACGTTTCTCATTCAAGTTGTTAAGTTACATGTATCTATATACTGTAACTTCTTTTAAATGTTTGTACCATAGAATCAATGTTTAGGAAAAAAGTATTTGAAAAAGAGAGGAAATTGAATCTGCCAATGAATGTGTAAATACGATATGCAGATTTAAAAGCGTGATTTGCCAATGAATGGCATATTTTAATTCGAATAGGGCGAATTATTCTACGGGCAAGTTACCTAAGGTGCGAACTCTCTAGCATTCGCGCGCATGCCTAGCCTGTCGTTTGTCCAGGGCATCTGCTTTAACTTCGCTTATATATTTACTGCGTGGACCATGCTTACTGCGTGGACTGCATGGTCCACGCAATGAGATAAAATTTGTAGGTAGAATTTCAGAAGTATTAGAAGAAGGTTCAAAGAACAAACTTTATTCCTTAGACGTTAACTAGCACGCTCATTCACACAATAGAACAATCCAAGGAAAAGGCACGTTAGCTTACTGTGACATTGGGCGCGAAAAGAGCGATTCACCCCTTTTAATAGAATCTAAAAGGACTGATCCAGTAGTATAGAAATGCAGAAAAAAAGGATACACGGACAAGTTGAAAAAGGATACACGGACATGTTGAAACGGTGAATCATATGGAATAATTGTTCCATGCAAAAAAATTGAAGGAAATAACACTAGTATTTTGCATCAGTGATATCGTTCTTTTTTCTGAAAACTGTTTCTTTTAAAATGCAGGTTAATCATTCCAATGAAATTCAGCTTGCACAAAATCTAGCTCTCTTGGTATGACGTATTAGTTTCGGATCTTGCAAATATCAATCCTTATACAGCCTGACGCCGTGACGTCAGGCAACAATGCAATCTGTCACGAGAAGGCGCACTCCGCGAGCGGAACGTAAAACTCGCGAAGCGTAAAAGGCGCACTTTATCTGGTGAGAAATTGAATACAATGTACTACAATCGAACAAAGATCAGTGAATACATATTTTTTGAGTAACAACAGTTTATATCAACCTTATAGACAAATAATTATATGGCGTGTGTGTTTAAAATTACAACTAGATTTTGTCACAAGCAATAATACCCGCACTAAGGTGTATGTCTTTAAATACACACTCCATTGAAAAAGTCAAAATAATTGAATAATTTACACAGTTCATGTATTCGTCAAATCGACCTCTTAAAGTATATGTATTTCATATGAAAGTATATGAATTTCATATACTTTAAAATTCATAATCAGTCTGAAAATACTCAATCAATTTTGTCAAACACTCCCTACCCCCACCCTCACACACACTTTTTGAAATAGGCCTAGATAGCAAAGTTATGTGAAAACATCCTTGGCTTTGCTAATTTAAAATTTTTTCTTGAACTATACATGTTTACAAGTTAACACTTTTTTGAATATTTCTACATCACATCGGGTTTGCGTCATCCATTTGTAGATAGCACCACTCGGCACAGATTGACCGATTCTTTCTTCATCTGAAGAAGGCGACGGAAACGGCAAAGGTTTGCCGAATGAGATTGCTGATGCTGCAGTGTGATATGTATATCATTTTGTGATTTAATTGGATTAATATATTTCATGTGGTTGACGGGACCTATGACAGTTAGTAAGTACAAGTTCAAGAATATAGATTGGGGTAAAATAAACCGAAATGCAAATGGTTAGGTTAAAGTTCAAAAAGTGTCAAAGGTCATTGCATGCACAGTAGACGAATTTCACATAAGTTATCTCCAGTTGTTGACATATATTTTAAAACTTTAATGCGCAGATCCAGATTTTTTTTTAAAAGGGGGAAGGGAGGGAGGGTCCACACCCCAGTCAAAAGATTCCAGCCCAGAATTTATCTATCTCTCTGCAAAAACAAATCAGTATTTGAATTTTAAAAAATCATTACCAACTCTCACTCACTCCATCCAACATTAAAAACAAACTCAATTACACCCGTTCCACTGTCGGCTTACTCGCTCTCGCTATCACTCCAGTCTCACACACATTATCCGGCCCTCTCTCTCACTCCAGTCTCACACTCATTATCCACTTTCTAACTGACTCAAATTTCACACTCATTGTTCACTCTCCAATCTCACAATCATGACATACTCTTTAACTCACTCCAGTCTCACACTCATTACTCTCTCACACACTCCAGTCTCACACTAATTACTCTCTAACTCACTCTAGTCTCAAACTCATTACTAACTCTCTCTCACTCCAGTTTCACACTCATTACCCACTCTCTCCATCACTCCAGTCTCACACTCATTAACTCTCTCCCTCTCTCCAATCTCACACTACATACTCTCTAACCATCTCCAGTCTCATACTCATCACTCTCTCACTCACTACAGTCTGACACACATCACTCTCTCACTCACGCTAGTCTCACACTCTCTATCATTCCAGTCTCATACTCTTTCCACACTCTCATGTTCAGTCATTTTAAACTCTCATACACACTCCAGTCTCTCACTCTTACTCCAGTCTCACACTCATACTCTCTCTCTCTCACTCCAGTGTCACACATAAAAACCTCTCACTCACTCCAGTCTCACACTCATTACCAACTCTCTCACTCACTCAAGTCTCACACTCATTACCAACTCTCTCCCACTCCTTTCTTACACTTACTATACACTTCTAATTCAATCCAGTCTCACTCATTACTCTCTCACTCAAGTCTTACACTCATAACATACTCTCTCTCTCTCACTCCAGTCTCAAACTCATTACTTTATCACTCACTCCAGTCACACACTCATTATCCACACTCTTACTTTAGTCTCAAACTCATTACCCGATCTCACACTCACTCCAGTCTCACACTCATTACTCTCTCACTCCAATCTCACACTCATAACATACTTTCTCTCCAGTCTCACCGGTCACGGTAGCCTAGTGATAGAGCGTTCGCTTCGTGATCGGGAGGCCCGGGTTCGATTCTCGTTCCCGGCGCTGCGTCATACCTAAGACGTAAACAAAGGTAGTGACTGTTCCTTCGCCAAGCGCTCGGCACTAGAAATGAAAGTCACGGGTCTTTCGGATATGACCTTAAAAATGTAGGTCCCGTGTCATGGTAGGCGCTGGCACGATAAAGAACCCTCACTGCTCAATGGCCCTGAGTGCCGAGTATAGGTCTAAATTTGAAGCCCTTCACCAGCATACGGTGACGTCTCCATATGAGTGAAAAATTCTCAAGAGGGAGGTTAAACAATATACAATCTATCAATCAATCTCTCCAGTCTCACCTCATTACTCTCTCACTCAATCCAGTCTCACACTCATTACTCTCTCACTCAATTCGGTCTCACACTCATTAGCCAATCTTTCACTCACAGCAGTTTCACACTCATTATCCACTGTCTCATTCACTTCAATCTCAAACTCTCCTCTTAATCTCCCACTTACTCCAATCTCACATTAATCACTGGATAGCAAAAATGTTGGGTTTCTTTAAGGTAAAAAAACACACACACATGAAATCTTTCGATATCATGTATTTCAATTAAAAGTATCAATAAATTTTACAAAAATCAGTGTTTGAACTCGAAACACAATCTTCTAGTATTAGCAGTCATTTATCTTAACATTTTCTAAATCTGAATTTATCTCAGTCTGAAAAATTTTAAAACACGGGTTTTGATGCTTCTTCTTGTCTTGTTTGGAGATGATTTCTGAAGAAGAAAAAGAAAATGTGTAAGCACAAAAAATATTTGAAATTTCTAAAGAAAAGTCAGTCAAGTTAGAAAATACTTTTAATACAGATTATAACATTTTTATCGATGTTAATCAAAAAGATACCTTTTCTGAAAATAATCCATGAGCATGGTCATCCTCCCTTGATGAATTTGGTAAGCTTGTAGAGGGGTAAGGAGTAAACTTAGCTAGATTTGGCTCTTTACACTGAAAGAGAGAGAATACTAGAACTTAGCAATATTACTGGTAATATCCTGTAGGAAAAAAAAAAATAAAATATGTGAATATTTATTATATCTCTAAAGAAATGTAAAAAATGAAATAAAATGTTGTTTACCTTTGGACTCTCCATGAAAGATTCTATGTTAAACAGAAAGAGTTTTCTGGGAATATATGTTTCCTCCTCATTCTCCTCAGTAGCTTGGAGTTGTCTCTCTTTGGTGGAACTCTTTAATAAAAAAAAGTTTAAAGTGTTAAAGATATGTATGCCGTATTTTTGCACAGCTGAAACCAAACAAAAATTTCTGAAGTATGATAAGCTATCAAAATTGAAGAATTCTCTCAAATTCGACGAAATATTATTCGGTATTAACAAAGTACTGGTCAGGAAAAGAACACAATATTCTCATGCATATATATAAAGGACTGACGATTATGTTGGATCTGCGCATGTGCGCGGGAAAAGCATCACGAGAATCATCAGGTCGAGGAAACTATTTTGTGTGACGTCTGTTCAGCGAGGAACCAACAAGACTGACAAATTGACCAATCAGCTCAATGAGTTGTATTTAATGCATTTATAGGTTACTACTCATGATCAGTACATAAATACTTCATGTGTTTTTCGAACAGGCTAGTTTTTTTTTTAAATCGCTCTCAGAAAGACGTGTTACATTTCCCAAGCATTTACACGCTTAATGCATTATGTACATTATCATCTACGAATCCCATGCTAACATTTGCATACAAATGAACAATGCTAAAAATAAGAGTTGCCACACTATAATATACAGGTCCGTTTGTTTACAATTTCCCCGTGCTCTACTGACAGTGAGAAGACAATTTCACGTGACTATATTCCTCGGTACAAAAAGCAACAAACTCTGAGGTGTGCTCAGGTATTGACATTGTTAACAATGCGTACAACTTCGAAACATACGGCATGCTAACAAGAAAAACTGCATTTGTTTGTTTATGTGAGCATGGGAATTCTCAATTAGTAACAATCCTTCCTATTTTTCTAAAACAGGTTTTAAAGAAAATGTAAAATGGCTTTCCAGCCGTCAATTGAACTCGCACCGTACAATTCCCTAAACCACGTGTTTGTAGTGAAAACGTAGTGGACCATCATGCTTTTCGGCTCATTCACGAGATTGGACCATTGTTTGCTGTGAGCATGCGAGACCACGTGTTCATGAATATTTCAATAAGAGGCGGTTTAATATCCGATTCGGAGAGAAAATAATTTTTACAAAATAATATTTCAAAACTTATAAATGTGATGGAGTGGAATTGTCTTAATTGCAGAAATTACATAACTATTGTAATTTGATGAGACACCACATATATTTATTTCTTTAGCAATAAAACACTAATACGGCATATATATCTTTAAAAGAAAGGCCAACAGTGTACAAAAGACA